ATTTACTGCTTGCAAACCAGTGATGGTAAGATGATGTCATGGGGTAGGACTGGATAAGTCTGACTTCTTCCTACTCCATTCAAGCATGTACTAGGTATAAGCAAATTGATATTGGATTAGCATTTGTTGGATATGTGTAAAATTATGTGTGTTGACATATCAACTGTCTTTACATGCTTGAAAGAATAAATCAAATCAAATCAAAGATAAACAGTATAGATGACGGATGTGTTGTATGTTGCAAGCTTTAAAGAGGAAGTATTTTTGCTGGGCAATGGAAATGAAATGGTGTTTTTATTGTATCCATCCTCTCTGAAAATGATTGTGTGTATAGTATTTTCCTTTGAAAATAAGTAAGACACAATAGTATCCTGCTGTATCTAATGACATAAACATATGTAACAACATCACCATGAAAGGCAGTCATGTTACTTACTGTAATTACTGTACGTGCCAAAATAAAACACTAAATAAACCAAAAACATCCAAGATCACATACAGCATATTTTAACCATAGTATTAGAATTTAACAAACTTTTGCAAACATTGGAGTTGTTCAATTGCATATTTGCCAGAGTTTCAACAAAGACAAGATGACTTCTCTGCCTGCAAGTAAAGCATTAATCTGCCCATCATGAGGTAATGACAAGGTGACAGAAAAGTTCATACAGATGTCTACAAGCATTCACATGAGATAAAACTGCTACCATTTGTGACTGTTATTAGGCATTTCTTTAACTATAGCTTGAACAATGCAGCTAGGCAACATGATGCATAAAGAAAGCTTCCTTTTTTAGTTCATACTCTTCCATCTTTGCGACATCTGTTGAATGAGGAAAGAATTACTGCTTTCATAGATTCCTCTGCCTCACTTTCTTAGCGCAGTGGTTTCCAATACAGTTGATTTAAGCCTTCACTTTCTGCACTGCATAATTTTGGTTCAACAATAAAGAGACAGTGCCCTCCCCATAGGATGGTTTCCGCTCTGAGTTTATTAGCATATGGTGTATGTATAGCTGTTAGCAATAGTTGCTGCACAATAAAACACTCAGTGTTTATCAAGTTTGTGACCACATGATATGTTTGGTAATTGTTATAAGTAGCAACAAAGGTTTTCTAGAGGCACTTTACTATATGTATTATGCCTACAGTCTATACTTAATGGCTTGTACAATACAAACTCATTCTTTGTACTTTATACAATAGTGCAAGTTTATAATGCAGTTTGTTCCCTCATCACACTCTAATATCGTTAATGGATCAAATCTGTAAGGAAAGCCCTCTGAACATATTTTTCTCTTAGTCCTCCTACATAATTTCAAACCATAAGGGAAGAGTATTGTATGCTCCTTATTTTTTTTTTTACATATTTATCAGTCATTGTTATAAAAAAAATCATGCTACTGTTAAATACAGAGAACTAAACTAGTAAATTCAAATATGCTTCAGTGGCAATGGCAGCTGACACCCCTGCTGTGAGATTTGGCCAAGAATTTGCATGTCTACTTGCCAGTAACAAGAATTAAAGGAGCCAGTTTTCTGACAATATACAAGGACTGAAAGGAAACCCAAAGGAATCCCAGAAAGTGTACAAAAATGGCAATAAGAATTTTACAATTTATAACTTCTAAAAAAAAGTAATTATAGCATTTCTTTTTTCCCACTGGACCGTAATTTAAAAATTTTTTTTTTTTTTTTGATTTTATGATTCACTTATTGAATTCCTTAGTTGCTCTTGTTAGAGGCTATAACATCCATTAACACCAGTGGTCATGACTAGCGTCTGCCTTCACCAGCCGATTGTCTACCCAGAATCCTGCAGTGAATGCTTCGGCCTACCGCTGATATGAGAACAATCACATCCAGTGAGAAGCCGTGAGCATCTGGCTGCTCAGAATGACAGAAATCCTTTATCACATGCTTTGAAGTGTATAGATGAAGGGATGTTTTCCTATAGGTTGACCAGGGAAATGCATTGCTGGCTATCTCCAACTAATGATTGATTGTTTCAGTTTGTCAAAACATACAAAAAAACATCATTGTTAAAGTTTTAACTACCAACAAAAAAAGAGGATACTAGATGTCTTGCTGAGTAAAGCTAATGGCTAACTCTGCATGTTTTATGTTTTAATTCCACTGTATTAGAACAAGTTATGTGTATGCCATACATTTGTATGTAAAACCATAATGTATTTACATTATGGTTTTAAAGTGTTTTTTAATGTCTGTCATTTTATGTATTTGAGAAATATTAACATATGGTGAAATTGCCATAGCATGAAAATTTATATGTTAGAGAATATACTGCAAATCCCTCAGATAATAAACATGTTCAGTACCTGTAATTATCTCCTAAGGAGCACAGCAGAGCCAGGTGAGGATTGCTGGAGTTGTCCTGTCCCTGCAGAGCAGCTGAGGAACAGGGATGACAGACACTTCAGGGCTGTCCACCACAGCCTAAATCTAATGGATAAACCTATTATGTGCACATGGTTGCAGGGCGATAATGTATATTTACATATATGGTTTTTATATCAAACACAGTAATGTAAAGAACAAGGGTGTAGACATACCAGAGTATGACTCATGAGATGCACCAGAGGATGGGTTCAAGTTGTCTGTTCTTGCTAAAGGAGAACGACTTGGTTGTAGAGGGTGGATGGTTAAACAGTCTGTCAGCATGTCCTGGGTCACATCAGTACTGGATTTCATCTTGAGAAATGACACATAGGACATAAACATAAACAACTGTGAACAGCATAAATGTTAATGTGAGTATTTTCAATATTAGCTGTGGCCAATTTACAAAACCATAATACAATTCCATCAAATATTTTCTTTACTTCACTACCTATTATCAAATAAAGACAGCAATGAAAAAAATCAACTAAAATGGTAATTATGTACTTACTGTACATAAGGGATTGCGTTACTTTAAAGCATGTATACTACTGTCTCAATTATTTGCAGATAAGACACAAAACAGCTATAGAATGCTTACCATATATGGTTATAAAGTATACAGATAAACTGAAGCTATGATTTTGCTGTGGTAAAAAACACATGTATTCTACATTGAGAACCATCAGTGAACAATTATAATAAACACTTGTAATTTGAGTTTTTGATGAAAGAAGTTGTGCATGTGGGGGACTTTGTAAAATGGCACCTTTTTTAGTAACTACCCACCTTCTTTGTCTGTATCTATGGTGACATAACCCTCAGTAAGAACTAAAGAGCATAAATCTCACACACACATGCAAAAATCTTAACTGCAACACTGCAGTACCATAATGTAGAAAGATGTAATGGAGTCACCCTAAGTGAAAAATAAATGGGGTGAAAAAACGGAAAGAGATATGACAAACTAATTATGTGTATTTTTGCGTGAACAGAAGTAGCGGCTGTACAGTATAAACCCACATATGGTACATACCCAGCTTGATGGATGTTTTCATCTGACTGCATACATGCTGAGATGCAAGTTAATGAAAGTAAATGACACTTTTCTGTGCACAGTTGAGTTGCAGAACTTAACAGAGTGAATACAGAACATGTCACGGAGAGTACGTACTCAGTACAGCTAGCTAATTAGGATAAATGAAAGAACAATGAAATGAAATGTGTGAATGTTGCTTCTCCTTTGTTCATGACTGTGATGCTGAGGAAATGATGCAGCCTACTTGCAATGATCACCAATGAGATATGGTCAAGGTGGAAAGTGATTGACTACAAAAACGTAATAAATCTAATATTGTATACAGATCTAACTCCATTCGTCAGCCAACACATTCAGCAGACTGTTTACATGCACGTAGTGTTGTGTACTTGGTGTAAGGGTTCTAAATGAAACACATTCCCAAGAACCAAACTGAAAAACTAAAAAAAATTTGCAAACTGTTTCACGACATGCATTTACCTTCTTCCGTAACTGTCGTTCTTTTGTAGAATGGGATTTCACATGTTTCCTCAAGGAGCTGGGATCAGTGTAGCGCTTTGTGCAGCCAGGCACTTGACAAGCATACGGCTTCTGTACGATCACAGACGTATGCAAACCGCATAGGTGCAAAGTCACACACACAGTTACACAAGCTTTGAAAGACCACACAGAATTGTAAGTGTGCCTGTGCTTGGCTGCCACTCACTGTGTCCAGGTGTGTACGCTGGTGTTTAGCTCTGTCACTTGAGTTGCTGAAGGCCTTGTGGCAGCCTGGGTGCTGACAGAGATATGGTTTCTCCCCTGTGTGGCTACGCAGGTGGATCTTCAGATTTTCTAGTCGAGAGAAAGCTTTCTTGCAGCCCTCAAACTGTAATAGATATAAACACAGTAGCAGTTTATACATTATTACATTAAAAATGACTTCATTAATCTGAAGTTCTTTACCTGTTTGGTGGTTGGCTCTATTCGGTGCAATATTCAATATAAGTTCCAGAAGCATCTCTAACCTAATGTTACACATATACTATGAGCTTATTAGATGGAATCATGGCAGACAAAAGACTGCTGACCTCAGTGTGTGGGAGGGAGTGGAAAAGAAAATATAGAAAACGTTTCAAAATAGAGAAATTACTGCCATTTAGTCTCAATTGATGCTCAAGTTAGCCCTAACTGCTCACTGCTAGTTTCATGGTGAATAGTCAGGCAGCTAAGCAGCAAAGCCCTGAGAGGGAAAACATTTGGAAAAGACAGGAGCATCTTAGGTTTATAGCAAAGTTATGTTATGTATTGACAACTTGATCTCATGGTTATTCTTAGTAGTGTGCATGCTGTTTTTACATATTTGATTATTATACACCAGCCAATTCCTATTTAAATCATGAATTATTTAAAAAAAAAGTACTTGTACTTTACATGACTACCCCAAATTAAATTCATACTGCTCTTGAACCCTTTTGATAACACTCATGAACCTAGTGTTTTCTAACAGGTAGATGAAATCATCATTTGTACTTTCTGAGTGAAGAGTCAACAGCAGGCTATTCCAAAATGCTAACACCTCCCCAGGCCTGTTGCTACTGTCAAGACTTTCTCAAAGAAAACCCTAAACAAGGTCACAATATTTGAACTACCTACTGTTTTCTACTAAAAATCATAAATAATGTCTCTGATGGTTGTGAGTGCCACCAGCAGGGGTCAGTGTTTATGCACATATCATGTATTGTCATTTTGTTTTCTCTCCTTTATCTTGCATCACCTTGACAACAGTTGGTAGCTATCAGTTACAAAAAGTTGTCACTTTCAGCTGACTAATCTTAATACACATTGAATCCATGATTGAAAAATGATGAAATACAGCATCGCAAACTGTACATGGCGTGCACTTCACAGTAACAGCTCTGTTTTGCAGTATCATATGACCACAGTGACTTCACTGCTAAAATATGTGTATCACCAAAGATTTTCTTCTGTATGACCAAAGACTTCACTCTCTTCCGGCTTGCAGGGGGGTTGGAATGTCCTTACTAAGCTTTATAGAAAAAACACAGACCATGCCCTGTTTTGTTATTTTTCCTCCAAGACTGGATTCCTCACATACTGATACCTCTTAGTCATGATTGCCAAAGCCAAATTAAAATGCTTTTTTTCTCTCTCCAGTAATAGCTCACTAATAACTCATTCCACCGAAAAATGCTCGCCCTTCTTTCTGATCACAACACAACTATGTCCTGTCAACATCTATTCTCCTCTAAACTCTAGCAAGTCCATTTGCTTCAGCATTTGAATTTGAAAATAAAAGTTGTTAAGTCCTGGATATTGTATAAATGTATAACCAGCACTGAATATGAAGACTTCTTAACATTTTGTTAAATTGGAAACTGAACAAACTTGCAGGAAAGGGATAAATGCTTCTCAAATCCACTTCCCACACACACGAGAGTAAATCTTCTCTCAACACTATTTCCAGTTTTATCCTACAACACTAAATGCTTCTTCACAAGTGGAGCACTAGCAAAGTACACCAGTCCTAAATATAGTTTAAAGAAATGAAAGTACCACAAGAAAAGCAGCACAGACAGAGATAAATAGTCTCTCAGAACCCAAGTGAACAGACAAGCGAGAACCTGAATAAAGCTAAAACACTGCCAAGACTCCAGGACTAGCTAGGTAACTGTGTAACTCTCTCTCTCTCTGTCTCATGAAGTTCTCATAAAGCATGGAGGGCTTTTTAGTTTGTTGCAAGGGACGTTTGAGCTGAAAAGAAAGCAGCATGACTCTTTAGTCTAGACCAGTGTTACAGCCAGCTTCTGACAGGTCCTGGCAGATACTTGTGACCTGGCCGAACAATGACAGCTGCAGCAGGTGCCAACAGCAGCTGTCCAGTGCCCAGTCTTACTCTGAGGTCATTTCACTCTGGACTCCATTCACTTCACCAGTGATATTTCTCCCCTCTTTGCTTTTTTGTTCAACTGGATTATTGTGAGTGGTCACTATTAGTATTATACAAAATAATCACAAGTACCTCCTGGATAGGATCCACTATTTTTTATCAGCAGGCTAGTTTTCATTTGCTTAAAATTTTTAAAATGTTTGCAATTTGTTTACTAAAGCAGACTAAATACACAACAATTATTATTACATTTGTGAAAATGAATCCAAGGTAGCGAAGCATCTTTTCCTGATACCAAATCCAAGTTAGTTCCCTCGAAACAATTGTAAGGACAGTGCTTAAAATGTTGTCAGACTTGAAATCTCATGAGGACTGTATTCAATGGCATTCCTAAAGCTTGAATTACAAGCTGTAGGGAACTTTATTAGCTGAGGAGGGAGCTGAAGTTTCATTTTTACTTTTTTTTGCAAATGCAAATTGATCACAGCATGATTAATGCATAGTGACAGAAAGTAAATTAGGTAAAGTTAAAACAGACAAGAGTAAAAACACTATGTACTCAGTCAGTATAACTGATATTAATTGAAGGGGTGTTTTTGTGCATAGCATTTTCAGTGTGGTAGTAGAAACAAGCCATATTCTCACTTCCTGAGCTGTGCACATAACAAAATTTTAATAGCAAACAATAATAGCACAGTGATATTTATAATAAAATTGTGTCCTGATTTATAATGACTGTGAAAATCTGTTTGGGTTCAAATGATGCTTTTACAACCTCTTGTTTAAACCACAATGACAGACATATATGGACTGTTGAGTCAAGGCTATGTTATTGTTATCAGACTTTTCAATCATTATTTAACAGTCTCTGAGAAGACAGGTACAAGTCTGAGCCTGCCCTATACATGCAGTGTGTAACTTTAGCTACCTCATTGTTCAGCAGCTGACTGGCACTTCATTTATCATGCATCGGTTTATTCACCTGCCACTCATTTCCTAAGAAAAACGGCTCTACATTTTGGCCAACTGTATAATTTAAAAGGTTTGCTCTTTTAAGGGAAGTCACCTATTTCTAAATAATAAAAGTACTTTTAGCTAAGTGTTCTGTGAGATTCAAAGCGTTCATATCCGGCAATGACTTCATGCACAGCCTTTTGGCTTTTCAGTACAAATAATTCACATCAGGAATGGGAACGATAAGTATAATGTCCTGGCTTTTTCCCCCTTCTCTCTTTATTAGTCTGTGCTATAATTACTGAAACACAAATACAGTACATGTGTGCCTTTGTATCAGTTCTGCTTTTGTGACCATTAATATTTTCCTCCATGCTGAATGAATAAATTAACATAGCCCCATCCAGCAAATGTGGCCCCATGCGCTGCAACAGAATGGGCTTCAACTAATAAGTGAGTATTTTGGTACAAAAGGTCGACTGAAGGTATGCATGCAGTTAATAATTGACTTGCTGAAAGCAGCGACATGAAGCATGTTTGCCTAGTGGTTTGTCAATTACTCATCTAATTCTCAAGTATTTTCCCAGTGGCAGTAAGTAAAAGACTTAGTAAAGAAAAAGGTTAAAGGAATGATGATGTCTGTCCATCTGTCTGTCTGTCGGTTGGTTAAGTGGGTTACTGGGAAATTTTGCATGGACATTCATGGGTCAGGACAATGCATCCTAATGATTTTGGTGATTCTCCGACTTCTCCTCTAGCTTCACTATGAGCCTGACAAATGTTGCTTTATTTAAATATCTCTACAACAATAAAGTGGATTGGCATGAAATTTGTTATAGATGGCCGCGTTGCCCAGACAGTGAATCCTTTAGACGTTGTTGATTCCCTCACTTTTCCTCTAATGCCGCCATTAGGCTGTTGTTTTGGGGTTTCAGTGAAATATGACTCTTCATCTAATGGCACCATTAGGTTAAAATTATTAACATCCAATACTTTGGTTTATGATGAAATACCTGCAAAACTAATGACATTAGCATAATTTGTGTTTGTTGCTTATTAACAAATCTTAACGTGTTAACACTCTAAATTAAGATGAAACATGGTCAACATTACACCTGCTTAACATTAAAATGTAACCATTGACTTTGTGAGTATGTTACAGTAGCATGTTGATCTAAGTATCACAGGAGTGCCACTGTGCATGACTGTCGACTCTTATTTCTACATTCTAGACTGAGATGGGAATCTCTACATTGTGAAATTTTTCACATCACATTCAAAAATAACCAAATTAAAGGCTATTCATTAAACTGCAACACATCTGAAAGAATGAGCTCATTCATCTTGAAGAAACAAAGATACTAATTCACTGATAATAGAGCCCGTGGATAAATGCCAATTCCTTGGCCACAGATGCAGACCTGTAGAGAGCCAGCCTATGGGGTATCGCCTTCCCAGAATAACAGCCAAGTTTGTCAGACGATGGCCTGGCATACCCCCTGCTGCTGACAGGCCTAGTAGCTACTAGACAGCCATAGTTCTGTGCCAGTTCTAAAGTGCTAGGCCTCTTTTGAACTGATTTAATAACTACATAATTGAGTTAATTCCCATGTCAGTTATCACAGTACTCTGCTAATTACCCAGTGGCTAAAGTTAAGAGGAGAAAGGCCATATTTCTGAACAAAAGCTTGGCCATAAACACAGTGCACATGAAGGCATTTGCCTTTAAAAAGCCTTTGTTTTCTGCAGCCTGAGCCTTGAAAGCTTTCAACTAGATACTGTGGCTTTGAATGAAACACTCAGCTTTGTGAGCCCCTGATATTCATCATGTTCCTGCCTTGACTGCATTCACTCAGCCTCCTCACAAATGAGTAAAAAAATCATCTGACTGAAAGCCAGCTGTGCTATGTATTGTTTGGGAGTAAGAGAGCATAAAGTATCTTTTTGCAAAGAGGTAGAGAAATTAAAATTATGTCAAAATATAACAGTATTGTAGTATAGGAGTAGTGGCAGTAGTACAGTAGTATAGTATTGACTTCAGTTGCAAGGAAAGAGATAGTGATGTGATATGCATGTTGTACCGTGCACTTGTTGGGTTTTTCTCCTGAATGCACCCTCATGTGGATTAGAAGCTTGTATCGAGCATTGAAAGGCTTGAACTTGCGTGGACAGCCCACCCAGTAGCATGTGAAATCCTCAGCCTTCCGCTGGTCCACATGTAGCTTTTCTATGTGCCTTACCAGCTCCTCCTTTTGGTCATAGACTGCGCTGCAGTCCAACCATCCGCAGCAGTGGGTCCCATAGTCCTCCATCTCTCCTTCTTCTTCCTCCAGCATTGGGACCTGGGGTAAAAAGCTCACCCCATGCCTTGGAGGAACCATAGAAGCTTGTGTTAGAGGGTCCTGAGATAGGCGCTTTATTTTGCAGTGATGTCTGAAGAGGTGGATGTGCTGGTGGGAGTGGTAGGGTGGTGGAGGCCCCTGTGGAGTAGCAGCTTCTTGAACAGTAGTCAGCTGTGCTGGATGTAACTGTAGAGGTGGCAGCAGGTTGTTGATGGCTTGGCTGCAGCTCTCCGAAGTCTTCTCCAGTACCCCTTGTTTCTCTGGGAGGCATTGCTGCTCCACCACCATGTTAGCCATCTGGTTCTTCAGACCACTTCTCTTTTCAAGCATCTGCATACGGCCACACTCTGTCTGTGAGATCAGAGCCTGTGAAGAGCCTGGCATGCTGTAGGGATGCACCTGGGGGATACAACAACCCTGCAGAAGGTGACCATAACCTTCAGACAGCACAGGTGAGAGTGTAGAGTGGGAGGCTGGAGAGCTGCGGGAGCCATTGATGTACGCCACAAGAGAGGTGGGCGAGGTGCGTATGATGGAATTGAAATCAGTACCCATGACATCTGACAAGGGCGACATGGAGAGGGCTCTCTTCTTAGCATGAGATGGTCTAGGGCTTCCAGCATCACCTCCAAAGAGGTATGATGGCAAGGAAGCAGAGGTGCTTGTGCCCCCTGATATGGTTGTACCGGACATGGCCGTGCCAGGGGAAATGATGACCTGCTCACCTCCCTCACTGGCCTGGGTGGAACATTGAGGTAGTCCCAGTGGAGGAAGCACACGGTAGCCATACGGCCAGTCATGTCTGCCACTAAACACTGACTGTGTTTCAAACAGACTGAGGGTAGTGGATGCCAGGGATTCTCTGGACAACAAGGATCTGAAACAGATTGTTGTTTCCACTTTAGTAACATTCTTAAATTTTAGTGAGCTTATCATAACTGTAACTGTTATTGATATTGCCCACCTGGCATCGGTGTGGGGGATCAGCACACTATGTGAATTTGATGGAGGATGAGGCACTGCAGGTCCTGCAATAAATGGCTGGTCTGTGACAACAGTCATCGGACCACTGGTCACTGTCAGGTTGGCAGTAGCTGGCTGACCAAATACTTCCATGCTAGGCCCAGTCACAGAGCAACCTACTAGACACAAGCCCAAATCTTAAGAGACAGAATATTCAGTTAGCAGATACCTTATGAAAGCATATTGGTTCCAGCAGAGCAGCTACTTTTATCTGCATTCAACAAATCTTCACAGATCATTTCAGTCTTCCTATAATATTATAGTAATATCTGAAAAGGAATAACAAGTGCAAATCAGACTCAAGTACATCACATTTAGTTTGTCTGAACTAAGGTTTATTCTGTACAGTAGACTGTGAAATTTTCCTTGCCAACCTGAGCAGGCCACAGTTGCTTTCTGCTCTGTTAATCACTAATAAGCTTTTCACCTTCTTCCTCAGTAGAAAATGTAGGGACAAGCTTTATGCTTGGTTAATTATCAATACATGAGAGCAAAAGAAGTCTGACAAGAAGACAGTAGTGAAGAGTTCATTGGGCAATAAGTGAAGTATGAGGACGTGCATTGTAAATCAGTAGAGACGTCTCTCCACAACATGACTCTTGCAGACTTTTCACTTAATAGGATGTGTGCCCTGATGTCTCTGATGTAATGTAGACAGTGTGGGCGCTGAGCTGTGTGTTACATCTCCCTGGGTACTGATGAGATCTTTTTAACCTGTGATGACTTTTGTTTTCTTACCTTTGAAACTGTTGCAGAGCCCTGTTTGAATGGTAGTTGTCACTGTTGTGTTTGGAGGATAATGAGCAGGCACTTGCTGGTGTGGGGATGCGGTCAGTTGCTTCCCATTGGTCAACACCTGCCTGCGGAGGCTCAGGGTGGGCAGAACAACATGGCTTCCGCTATTTTTCCCAGAGATTAAGGAGTGGTTGGCCCCTCTTTTCACTTTCTCCATTCCTGAGGAGGAACTTAGATTGACCCGTTGGGGGGAAGACATGGGAATCACGATGGATTGGGACTGGTGTCCTCTGATCATGCTCAGTGATGGGGACACACTGCATGGAGACACCAGAAGCTGGCAACTTTTTCCACTCATGGCTGAAGCACGAGGAAGTCAATTCAAGTAGATGTGTTTTATTTACAGAACTGCTAGTCCACAGCTCATACCTACGAGAAGAATAGAACACAAATTATACAGTCCCAAAACCAATAAAATAAAATAAAATATGGTCTTACTTTGAACATCAAACCTTTAGAAAACGACTCAACCACAGTTTAACTATGCATTATACCCAAACAGAACTATTTCAGACTTACACATACATAAATCAGTGTTAGCCAAACTAAAAACTAATGCCATATAAAAGCATTGTATTAATTAGTAATTAACATTTTGAATATTTCTACACGTTTTATTTCACTATTATCCATATATATTAAATTTAAGACGTTTCTTCTTGTACAGGAGTTCTACCAAACAGTAAAAACGTGACCTTTGCTGTCAGGCTTTTCATCACACTGCTGTTGTCGATGGCTCCTTCACTCACCTAATGTCGCAAACCCTTTTTCCAAAGTGATATCAGGAATGAATGGCTGCGTCAGTCCGCTGAGCTGTGAATGTAATCTGGACAACACCAGGAGCTCAACTGTGGTGTTGCTCTCAGTTTGTGATGGGAGTGCCCTGAGCAGAAAGTCAAGCCTTAGAGGAGTTTCTCTGTTTGGACCGCGGCGTCCCACCTCGCTCCTCTGTCTCCAGGAACTTTGTTTTTCTTTCGCCGATTACCCTTTTGCCCTTGAAACGGCTTTATTGTGCACTACGTCATTTCAAACCCAGTGGACATTAGTAGTAAATAATTAAAGATTTTTTTCCCTCCTACTGTATCCTGTAAACTCATGCGCTTGCGTGTGCGCACGTACTACAGTCTTCAGGTGAGCGCGCACCTCATAAGAAACCCCTGAAAGATTGTACTAATGCTAGGATAGTTGTATATCGATAGACGAATATCATTTTTAGAGTAAATGGACTGTTAATGTAGATTTCCTGGAAACTCAGTCTTTAAATTGGGCGTCTTTGTTTCCATTTCTGCCTTTTGTGGGCTGTTTAAAACAACTTTTATCACGCAGTTTTAGGAAGGTTATCATGCGCGCAGGTAGCTATCGCTGCAGTGACAGTAGCTAAAGGACAAGTATATGGAGTAAATACTCTGTTAGCCTTTTACCTTCAACATAAATACAGCTTCTACATAAATGAGCGTTCTTTGATTCAGTATATTGATTGTTTTTCTTCTCAGTTAAACTAAGATAGTAAGCACTGGCAGCATGAGAGCAGAAATCAGTTCTGAAGTGGAGAAAAAAAATGCAATCAATTTTTTTGTGCACAAATTCTCTCCATTTTTCTGCCACTGGACACCCATGTGACTTTGTGTTGCACAAATCTTCTACCTGCTCTGTTCCCCTCTAACACTCTCCCCCTGGTCCTCCTCTGGTTTTCCACCTCAGCTCAGACCCCATTGTTAGGCACTTCTCTCTTGGCTGTTAGAGTGTTTGCTCTGTGGATCCTGCTCCAGATTGGCACGGAAACCAGCATGTTTATAGGAGGAGGGATAGCTGTTCTTTAAAAACATACATGGAGGAAGGGCTGTGCTGCACAATCTGCAACAATGATGAACTTATTGTCTGACAGACAGCATCCACTAAATGAAAATGCATGTGTAAATAAACCGTGCCAACTGTGTGGCATAATGGTGGACAAATGGTGTCTGCAGTCACTCATACTGACTGCTGAGAGTTTGCACCGAACAGAATGATGGGTTGTAGCTAAGTGTGTAAGATGCAGTGGGTTGTCATAGCTTATGGACTATTTTTTCTATAATATGCATCAAATCAAGCTTAAATTAAAAGATACCTATTAAATTATCTGCTGAGTTAAACCTTTTATTTCTCTATGGCCAGTTATAAATTGTACTGTGGTCATTTGTTGACTTAGATTGATTGCTTAATTTCAGATATATTGAATTAATAAATATATATTTAATATTAAGTGGTAGTGACCTCTGGTGGTACTAGAGAGAAAACACTTAAGTACTTTGCTCCCAGCCTGTCAAAGTAAGTTAGTGGGCCTGCAGTATTTTCAGTGTTTCACTTCATCACAGTATCATTTTTCAATTTAATCTGATGTCATTAAAAATATTTTAAATTGCCTGTTCTATATAGTCTCCTTATCCATCTGTTCTTTTTTATTGTAAGTGTTCCCTCTTTTGCCAGCAGGGGATACTATTAGCACACCAATGAGATCATTCAATCTGCTTAATGTAGTAGGGGTACACATTATCAGATGCCAAAAAAAAAAAAGAAAAAGAAAAAAGGTCTAAAGATGTAAGAAAGTACCAAATTGTGAGACTTGGGAAGGTCGAGAAGATAATACTGCTGTTTACATGATTACATAAAACACTTTACATCTACAGAGATCTACTTGCATCAAGCCGTGGTCCACCAGCAGCCATGTGATGTGTCCTTTTTGTCCCTCAACTAAGTGAGTCATGGTGTGTTTCCAAATTTCAGTGTAACAGGATGGCAAAGCATCTAAGCTTGAGGCAGAGCAGCAACATGGATGCTGCCACTTGCATTTCTTCTGAATGACAGACACTTGGAGCAGCGTTTTCATGCTCATAGTCAACATTTACATTTTACAGCCTTCTTGGTCAAACTGATACAAACTCTCAGCATCTTTCTGAGGAACTGATTTTAATAGATGCAACAAAGTGGGGAAAAAAAGACCAGAAGAAGACCAAATGAGATATAAGTGTGTACCAATTGTGAAGAGCTCCATTTTTAGCAGAACTAATGCTCTAATAGACTCTCCACCACTTACAGAAACCATTTCCCCCCTTCATGATGACAGCATCAGCACTCCTGGAGTTGGCAAAGCATTCATTCTGGTGTCAAGATGAGAAATCACCGGTGATTTCTTTTTTTAAGTTACAATAGTCACTTAAAGTAATGCACACCACAGTGGACCTGTAATTAATTAATCTGCTTTTGATTTGATTTGCTAATGACTATTCATGTCAGATACAAGGTTAATAAAGGGTGAGTCGACCCTTTTAACTGCAGCTGTAGGTGTAGGAAATATCAGTTTACTGGTACGATCCTTCATTATAACTGCTCCTATTAGCCCAAGGCACCTCATATACTTACTCTCAGCATATTAATGGACAAATATAGTGTTACACACGCCCATATCTGCAATTACATCACAAGTTTCTCATAAACATTAAAATCATTCATGTTGTTTTGTAGCCAATAGTATTAAACTAATGTTTTGTAAAGATGTCTAAACTAAAAGGATAATAAATAGTGTGCCTTTAGAGATGTAGCACTATCTAGTGTACAGGAAGTTTAGTAGGGAGGAAAGAAGCATCTAGTCATCTCCTCCTCTGCTCCTCTGTTGTCAGTACCAACACCCAGGTGAAGATGAATATGAGAGAGATGGGTTTCTGAGCATCTTCCATCTCCATCCATCAATCTTAGCTGACTTCTCTAATAACCTTTACAGAGATGTGATGTGTGATGAAAAAAAAAACAAGGGCAGCAGGGAACACAGGTACCCATGTCTTCTCCAGCAGGCTCTGTCTACCCCTCCCTGCTGTCTTCTCCAACAGGATGACTCTAATAAAAGAATGCTGACACAACACCCCCTGTGTTTAGAACTGCTGTTATAGGCCACAGGCTTGTTTTTAATTTCAGCGCACATTCGGGGTGAAGCCTAAGGGTGTGGGTGCTGTAAGCTCTTTCCTTTTTAGATGTTATTAACACTGAAGCTTCAGAATCAAATCTGTAAAGATGATGAGGCCTGAAAGCTGGAGCACAATCACAGAACTGACTCTGACTTGGCCAAATCAACAGAAACGTTTCCCAAGACTTTGATATATACAGTACACAAAATGTGAAAGGAAGCTTGGACAACAAATGATGTGGCCCGAGAGCAAAAGCAAATTTAATTTAAGTAACTGAAATCCAATTAAATCTGAGTTACTCAACCATAAGCTGATGTAGATCAATGACAAAGCATAAGGAAAAAATAATGACCATGATATAATGCTTGCAGAGTTGAGCATGCACAACATTTATGCACATGATCTGAATCTGCTGTCCTGGCAACATAAGAACTGGCCCCACTGATGATCTCAAAATGTAAAGTGAAAGAAGTTACAGATGTTTTAAATACTATAGTTTGCTTGCATTTTAGACTAGTATAACATATTTTCAGGATGACACATCTCTAATTTGTGCTTGAGGATAAAAATGTGTATCAACCCATTTACTGTAATGCATTCCACAGGTTTTATATTTTATCAAATAGTGTGTGTGTATGGTGGACATTTGCACAGGCATATAGGTGAAATTTCTTCCACTTTTAAGTTAAGTGATACTGCACATGTTCATGGATGTGTGAGAATACTTTGATAGGAATGTTACAGCTTCAGGGGGGCTGCTTGAATTTCTTGGTGTCAGTGTGGTGTTGAGGGTTGACAGGGCACATAAGACAACAGGTCCAGACATTGGGTGTGTCATTAGACCCCTGTCTGCAGCCCCCTGGTCAGATCCTCCCAACATCCGTCTTCATTAAAAAGGTTGCTCTCTGAGCAGATGGTCATTAACTGCACTCCCCCTCCCTTCCCCCCTGTAGTCCTAACATCCTCTATGCACTAGGACACTACCTAGAGGACACCTATCGTCCCTCAGGAATCCCAGAAAACCTCATCACAGAAGAAGAAGTGGTGCCTGACAAGGCCCCTTGATAATGATCACTCTGAGGCTGCCATAAATCTTCTTGAAATGTTTCAAAATAACACCATGAAGTATGAAGATGGTCTATGGAACAGAATAATCAATATATCAAACCCTGTGGCACAAGATAGAGGTGGGCAGAGTGACACAGCTGATACAAGTGGCCCTAAAAAGAAAGTCATACATCAGTGCTTTCCTGCTGTGTTTCCTTTTTCAGTTAAATGTTTTTGTCCCTGTCTTTTATGTGACTGGCATATCAATGTTGTTGGAGACTGCACTGTTGTCCAGACAGGTGTGGCAGGTGATACACGAGGACATGGTCAGTTTTAGGAAAAGCTAGGGTAGATAAACACAGGATGTCACCTACAGACAGCTGACAAATTAAAGGAAAAAGCAACATAAAGTGTCTTAGAAAGGTCCTTTAAAGAGAGCGTTGCTTGTGTGGTTCACTATGTCACATAGACATCCATTTATTGTGCTGTAAAATCACACATGGGTCATGCAGACAGGTGACAAATGAAAGAAAAAACCAATATAAAGTGTCTTAGTATAGTGTCCACCACTTGCTACGAGAACAGCTTCAATGCACCTTGGCATTGATCCTACAAGTCTCTGGACTCTAGTGGCGGGATGAATACCATTTTTCCAAAAGATATTCTCTTATTTGGTGTTTTGATGACGGTAGTGGAAACACTGTCTAATGCATCAGTACAAAATCTCCCATAGAAGGTCAACCGAGTTGAGATCTGGTGACTATGAAGTCCATCACATCCCATTATTTTAATACTCAGCAAAACATTCAGCGGCCCCTCGTGCCCTCTGGATGGGAGCATTGTCATCTGGG